TTATATCTTTTTGAAATTTAGGTGTAGGCTTAATTGATTCTTTTTCTTTCTCTTTCTTATTACCATAGGCATGAAAGATACAAAAGTTGCTCCAATACAGTTTTTTTAAAAATTAAAAAGTTATTTATTTATTTTTGCCATCACCATGTACCCCCCTCATGGCCTCTTCCACTGCCTCCTACCCACCACCCCCACTCACAGTGACCACACTGTCCAATACAGTTTTAACTGTGACCCTGAATCTTATTCTTTTGTTAGTGTTTAAAATAATGTCCCCATATTTGGTGTTGGCCTTTCAACTCATCACAGACTCTTTGTTCCATTCTTGTCTGGTCATGTGCATGCATATAGGTGGCATATTGAACGTCTGAGAAAGTGTGGGTAAAATTTTTGTGTATTTATTGTGGATCTCTATCTTAAAATTTGCCGTTAAGTTTTATGGGAGCTTAATGTACACTTGAGAAAGCTCTGTGTTTCCCAGTCTTTCCTCTTTGGAGCAATTCATCCAGTCGCCTCCTTTTGAGAAATGGAGGCTCAGGGACTTGCGGACGATCCCTCAGGGAGGCTGGGACAGAGCCTGTGTTTGGGGCCAATGAATGGAGTATTGTAGAGTTTGCTCCAACGTGACCCTTCCCAGCTGGTGCCTGTTCTGTTGAAAAGCTCCAGAGCAGGCTGCCTGCCTTAGGCCACGCAGCTTGTTTTGTGGGTGCTGCCTTTCCCTGCTGCATACAGCATCATACTGACCTGCCGACCTTGGGCTCCCCTGTAGAAGAGATGCTTCCAGCTAGCTAGGATGCTAGCTTCTTATGGAAACAGCCCTCCAGTGGGTCCTGCCACTGGTGTTCTGGGCATGCCCAGGTGTGCCAGAGTCCTGGGCTGCACATGACTTCATCAGTCAAGGTGGGGCCCACCACACTTGTTTTTATGAAAGCTGGATTTATCTGAGTCAGGATTTTAAATTCTTCTATCTCCCCTTTCTTTAAATGTCTTTTTAATAAGATTTATAGGTGTGGATTTTGTCTTTTTAATCCAGTTTATGAATTGTTTTTTAATTAGGAGAACATTTACTTGTAATCTTGGAATTGTAATTGTGTAAATTGTATAATTTCTCAATTAGTAAAATTTGCTGTTTCTCTTTAACTTATAGATGGATTTCTATTGGATGCTGCATTTTTTGATTCATTTAAGTAAGATCCAATGTAACATTTTCTGAACAACCCAATTTCCTAGTTTTTTATTATGTTTTCACTCACCCAACAAAAAACAGCCTGTGCTCATTTCTTTATATTTGTTCTAGCTTAAACATGTTTTTCTTTCTTATAAAAAATTCAGAATTTTTTTGTCATTCACTCACCTTCTCTAAGTCCTCCTTGGTCGATCTTTTTAGTTTTGGTTTTGTATTCTGAAAACTTCTCTCTCCAGTGTAAATATTTTTAAACTGTGGTCATCACACTGTATGACTACACTTCATACCCTTGCTTTTCAGACTGGAATATGCACACCCGTGGAGATAGACTAGGTCATCAGGTGTTCACACACGGAGCCCCTGAGAAAGGTGGAAACCTGAGCAGCTGTGATTCTACATGGAGCGGCTGTTCGCCTGGCTCCGCTGACAGGCTCCGGTGGACCCTAACCCAATTCACAGGCTGCCTCGAGCCAGTCAAATGTTTTCTGTCCAGCATTCTAGAATGCAGAGACTCAATCAGTGCTGGGCCCTGGAAAGGGGGAAACAGACTCGTCCTTCAGTGAACTTGTTCCCCACCCCAACCCCAACACACACACACACACACACACACACACCCCATGCCAACCCCTCCAGGACTCTGTGGAGGACTGTTGTTATCTGAAAAAAATTAGGGTCTGTTAGGAGTGAGAATGCCAAAGAGCAGTTTGGTAGGCTACAGTGTTTGCCACGAGTGGAAGAACAAAAGATGCTCCATCAGTACCATCGTCTACAAGATACTTGGTGATTTTACACTCCTGAGAGTGGCTACTGTTTAGGATAACTTCTTATTCAATCATGGTATTAGCAAAAACATATGTTCACTATGTGCCAGGCACTGTTCTAAATGCTTTACATGTATTAACTCATTTAAATCTCACATCAACCTTACAAGATGGTACTGTAATCACCCACATTCTAAAGGTGAAGAAAGCAGACACAGAGAGGTGGAGTCACTTGCCCAAGGTCACACAGAGAGTAAATGGAGGAGCTGGATTGGAACCTAGCATTTTGGTTTTCCCTTGGCTTACCTGCTGTGCTGCATTGCTGCTGTATCAAGCTTGGAACACGAGAGATGCCTTTTTGGCTTCATATGAGGCTGGTATCTGGCAGGAGGGAAGGTATAGGAGAGCACGATCTTGTCCTGTGAAAACGTCCCACTGCAGTGAATTCTCCAACACACAAGGGTATAAACGTCCTGCGTCTGGTGAGTTTAATGCCATTCTTTCTCTTTTAAAGTATAATAATTGTTAGATGCTATTTGCAGCTGTTGAGACACATCTCTGATTAAAATGGAAAGTTTGAAACCAGAAGAAATCTGGAAGATGGGAGATCCAAGAAAGAACAGAAAAGGTTAAAATAGGATGAAAGAATATAAAAATTAAGACAAATTTAGACATGTGGGAATAAAAGTTTATAAAGAACAACATTGTAAATGAGAGAACATTGTAAATTTTCTAAACTTCACATTTAAAGTAGTATATGTGAAGTTAAAAAAAGCAGAGAACTAGAAAAGAAAAAAATGTAAACCTAAAAAGTTAAGAATAACATGATATAGACAAAAAACTGTACTTGAGCCCTGGCTGGCATAGCTCAGTGGATTGAGTGCGGGCCTGCGAACCACACGATCGCGGTTCGATTCCCAGTCAGGGCACATGCCTGGGTTGCAGGCCGGTTCCCTGCAGGCCAGTTTCCAGCAGGGGACGCACAAAAAAGGCAACCACACATTGATGTTTCTTTCCTCCTCTCCTTCCCTTCCTCTCTCAAAGATAAATAAATAAAATCTTAAAAAAAAACTGTACTTGAAAAATAACTAAATAAAAAAAGGGAAAAAAACCCCAAAACAAAACAAAAAAGAATAACATGATATAATCCTGATAAAATAAAATGAACAGTTAAAAATATTTAAAAAGATAAGATGAAAATAATACTATAAAGGTAGAAGGAAAAGAAAAATGTAGTTTTTTAAACTAAGTTTAAAGTGAGACAATATAAAAAACAGGCTATACTCAGACCAAAACTGCAAGCTGGGAATGGTGGTCCGGGCGGGTCTAGTTGCTGGAGAGAAGAATGCCAAGAGCAACGGACACAATATCCGATGAGAAATGTTTTCTGCTTGCTTACCCACAGCACCACCAGCCCGCGCACGTAAAGATGGCACCCAGGGCTCATGGCACTTCAGTGCACCCCACAACTGAGCTGGAGCCCTCCCGAGTCTCCGGCCCAGGCCAGCAAACACACCTTCACTTTTGGTTCTTGGAACATGTTCATTCTACCTTAGTTTTTCTTTAACTTACTTCTTTCATTATCCTTTATTATCTTCCTTCAAGGTGAAATTAGCATGTGAAAAGTAATTAAAACCTGTTGTTTTTGAGTGAAGTTATTCCATTTTACCTCCTGAAGTTCTTTTTTTTTCTTTTTAAAGATTTTATTTATTTCTTTTTAGAGAGAGGGGAAGGGAGGGAGAAAGAGTGGGAGAAAAACATCAATGTGAGGTTGCTTCTCTTGCGTCCCCAACTGGGGACCTGGCCTGCAACCCGGGTGTGTGCCCTGACTGGGAATTGAACCAGCCACCCTTTAGTTTGTAGGCCAGCACTTGATCCACTGAACCACACCAACCAGGGTGCCTCCTGAAGTTGTTAAGGTGTTTGGTCATTGCACTGTTTTCATACACACACACACACACACACACACACACACACACACACAGGGACACAAGGTCCGCCTTCATCACCTTGCTACATCTTTGAGGTTGCAACACTTTTTACTGATTCGGATTATTTCTCCTTTTTACTGTAATTGGTAGCAGTGAAATTGGGTGGGAAGAACAAGACCATCCACAGGGCTTGTTCTTAGACGTGGCCGTTAGAGAGGGTGAGGTGATGAGGGAAAGTGGAGGTGTCAAGAACGACTTCTGAGGGTCTGCCTTTGGGACTGGGTGGATGTCAGGATGGGAAAAGGCCAAGTGGTTGGTGGTGGTTAGGAATCAGGGCTGGGCCAGAACTGGGAAGCTCCGGGGCAACTACACCCATCTGTAACTCATAAATTGCCTGGAAGGCTTGGCCCCTGAAGGCTAAAATGGATCTCTGGAGGCACTTCGTATACAAACAGGGTGTGATAACCCAGGTCCTCTACTCTCCTCTTGGGTATTGGGCAGGCCCCAGTGGCTTCCTTCATTTGGCTCAACCCAGGACTCAGGATACTGCCAGACCTCCTGTCAGCCTGGCATTCAGGGGCAGGGACCACACTTAGATTGTCCCCTCTGTATCCCCAGTGCCAGCCCTGCACCTAGCTCTGAGCAGGTGTTGAGTAAACCCTGTCACAGGAAAATGCCAGCATTGCTACCCTCGGCTACTAGAAGCCAGGGGAGACTCCATAAGGCTAGCGGCGTCCGCCGGGGTTGAGGGTTCGCCCGGTGTAGGATCTTCGGAGGGCTGGAGTGGGGTGGGGTGGGTGTGTGTGAGTGTGTGTGCGCGTCAGGGAGGTGGGGGGGGTGCTCTAATTCAGGAACAGAGGCGGGAGCGCGCCCGCCGACAGCTGTCCTCGGGGACGGGACGGAAGGCGTCTCAGAGGTCATCTGGCTCGAGCCACCGGCTTCAGCCAGTCGTCCACGCGAGGCGATACCGGAGAAGCTACGGTGGACCCTCGCTCGGCCCTTCGCCCCAGCTGCAGCGGAACTACAGCGGACCACCACCTCTGCAGCACACGTGCCGCGCGCATCGCTCTTGGTCCCTTCCGGCCACCGTTCGTCTCTGTTGCAGCGCGGCCGTGACCCGGAAGAGCATTCTCCTTAGCAACTGCTGGACCGCGGCGGCGCCTCCCGGGAGCTACGGTGAGGCTATCCGCCCCCGCCCGGTCAGCCCCACCTTGACCCCTTTCTTGAACCGACCAGGGTCTGGCCTGTGGAACCTCCGCAGCCCTTCGTGGGGCACTTGCGGCGGCCCCGGGCGAGCGCCCTCCGCCTCTGGCACGTCTCTCCAGTCCTGGCGTCGCCCCATCCTATCTCACGCCCCACGCTCCAGGCAGACCCGGCGTCAGAGCCCCAGCTCCTCGCCGCAGGCCCTCCCTCGTAGCCGGGTGTGGAGTGCGGGGCGCAAAGCCTGGTGCTGTAGAGAGGTTGCTTGAGGAGGCTCGGGTCACCTGTGGACCCATTCTCACGGGACTGGCAGGGATGGGGCGTCTCAGAAGCCGTGAACAGCAGCCACTTAAATTTATCACCTGACGTTTGCCAGCTGCCTCCCAGAGTGATGTACTTAATCTGCTTTGTCGATCTTGGAGACCCATTTTATTGATTATTTTGTCTTTTTCCCGGGGAATTAGCTTTCCAGTTTTTAGTGATATGCAGTTGGTATTCAGTAGTTAAGATTTTGTATCTTCCACATTTCCACAGAAAGAAAGAACTTTCCCTGGACTGAGTAGGTTTAGGAAAAATGTCAAGTGAAATTCGCTACGTTGAAGAAAGTAGGAGCAGGTGTGGTTAATGTCTCTGATTTACATTTGAAAACATGCCACACAGACTTTTTTTTATCAATATCCCAGCTGTTTTTTTTTTTTTTTTGCCGGAAATTGCCAATCTGAAATTTATATGGAACTACAAGGGCCTGAATGAACTCCTCCCTTAACTGAGTTAGGAGGAAGGAGTGGCAACATTGTTGGAGAAAGACTTTATGTTAATCCAGTGATGGAGCCAAGACAGGCATATGGAAAATGTTTGGAAATGACGTTATTTGGGAATAAAATGCAGGAGTGGAGTTTATAGATCAATATTCATTATTCAAAAATAGTATAATTTAGTTTCAGTTCAGTGAGTATTGATTAAGCACCTACAGTGTCGTGTGCACCTGAAAGGATACATGTAAGAAGGGAGACTGGACATATTCAATTTTAGGAGAATTATAAAATAGTGTTTGTTTACATGCAGAATCGGTGAGAGGAGAGATCAGTATTAGTCTGAGTTTTCAGGAATATGTTTAGGTACTATATAGTATAGATACTATTTGTCTCCTCTCTATGGGTATATCATATTCATATTCGAGAGGACAGGGAATCCTAAATAGTTTCTTTCCTTATATTCTTGAGGCTTTGGGAAATAGTCTCATGTGGCATTTTGCAGTACTTATTTAAATTTCTAAGGCCACTTGATCGTAATATCTATTTCCTTCGGTACAAATCTGGCATTTTTCTGTGTTTGAGATCTTATATAATGAGGCTGCTAGCTGGGGGAGGGGACGTGGGGAGACTTTGCTGCTTAGAAATTCTTTCCTTTGCTTCTGTATACTCATTAGTCTTGTGAAATGTCACTCTCTTCTTCCTTTGACAGGTATTTCCAGAATGCTTCCTGCGTAGCAGGCTCTGTATCAGGAAATACCAAAAACAAGTGACTCAACAACTAGTAGCTCTGCTATACCTATGGGGTGTGTGTGTGTGTGTGTGTGTGTGTGTGAGTGTGTGAGACTATCACCTTGGATACTCTGCATTTGCCTAGAGACATAGAAGGGCCAGAGAAATTTACACAGTTATACCTTGTTTTATTTTGCTTTGTTTTATTGTGCTTCACAGGTGTTGCATTTTTTACAAATGGTAGGTAAGACCCTTCACCAGCAAAAAGATTATGACTCACTGTATTGTGTTATTCACTTTATTACGGTTGTCTGGAATTGAAACCGCAATATCTTTGAGGTGTGCCTGTACATGCATCTGAATTGACTTATTTTTCTTTTTAAAGAACTGAATAGGGATTTTAGGCTCAATTGCTCTGGGTATCTGCCAGAGATTCATTTTGTGAAGAGTGTACACTCTTAAGGAGACCTCTTGTGATGTTTTGTTGCTCTCTTACAGGTTTAGTGCCCATTTAGTCACTTAGTAAATTGACTTGGTACTGGGCACTGTCCTTGGCTTTGGAAATGGGGGACAGTGAGTGCATACAGGGTCCCTGTCCTCAGCAGATGATATCACATCATCACACGAATGTAAAACTGCAACTGTGACAACTATTTGAGTTAGGAAAGTCACAGAAGTGATATTTGGACCGAAATCTGAAGGATGCACAGGAAAGGAAGAGTGTTCCGTCACTGCAAACGGCGAGGGCAGAGCCCGAAGTCATGGTGCAGGAGGAGGACGAGGACTTACAGTACAGCTCCGTGTGGGGAGCAGGAGGAGTGGAGAGGGATCTAGTGGGAGAGGCCCCGGAGAGGTGGGCGGGAGAGTGCTGCCTTCTAGTAGGCAGAGGAGTTTATCTTGGGAGTAAAGAGAAACCTATGGTTTTACTTAATGGATTTGGGCTGGATTATAGGTGGATCTGACACAGTCAGATGGTGTGAATAGCCTGCTTTGTATTTCCACTGTTTGTTACTATTTGTATTATCTTCTTGTTCCTCATTTTTCAATGGGCTCCCTCAGCTTTATTGTCGCTGGGGAAGCCTCTATGTCCTACTAGCAAGACATGTTTATTCTTTTTTTAAATTGGGAGACAAGGAATTTTAGGGTTGGGACTAGACATTAGAAATTAGATATGGAATCTTTATGCAGTAGTGTAACCTCTAGGACACTGATTTCTGTGACTCTTATTTTAAATTGTAATAAAAGCATTAAATTTACCCTCAACCATTTTGAAGTGTACAGTTCATTGTTGCATAACAGATCTCTAGGACTTTGTCATCTTGCAAAATGAAAACTTTACCTATTGAACAACTCCCTCTTTCTCCTTCCTCCAGCTCCTGGAACTCCCCCACCCCCCTTTACCTTTCATGATTTTGACTGCGCTAGATATTGCATATAAGTGAAATCCCACAAGGTGCATTAGTTTTTACCTTCCTACTCCTTCCCTAGAACCCTGGTATAATATCCTTTTTTTCCCCGTCAATAAATTCAAATTCTTCCAGTTTTTTTTTTTAAATCCTCACCTGAGGATATATTTTTATTGATTTTAGAGAGAGGGAGGGAGGGTAAGAAACATCAATTGTTATGAACCTGCAACCTAGACATGTGCCCTGATCATGAATCGGTTTTGCAACCTCTTGTAGGGATGATGCTCCAACCAACTAAGCCACCTGGCCAGGGTCCTCTGGGTTCTTTAAGGCCCAGGTTCCTTCCGTTGTCCTTCAACTTGGATTAACAGACCCAGAGTAGAAGAGGCCTTAGAAATTTTCTAGGTGAGCAAATCAAGCCCTGTAGACGTTTCAGTGATCTGCTCGTGGACAGATATCTAGTGAGGAGAACAAGGCTAGGACTAGGGCTCTAGTTTTTCCTCTCTCAGTGGGTACCTGTTCTGTCTCCGCCTGCTTGCGGGTTGTGATTCAGTGCTCCATTCTTTAGTTAGAAGTAGCTGAGGCACACACACGTTTTCCTGTCTCTGTAGCATCTGTAAAAATATTGGCTCAATATTTTTAAGGCAAAAAAAGTGTAACAAAGCATTTTCTTATGTGAGGAAGACTTATAAACTTATTTGTAGTTTCCCCAGTTATCCCAGACTTGCTTTTCTGTAATGTTGTATTACCAGCCTGATAGAATCTAACTTTTAAAATGTCTTCTTAAATTTAACCTTCAAGAAGTTTATGTTTGTTTTATATGGGCCGTTACTGTGGGAAGTAAGGTTCCTTTTTCACTGAAATACTACTGAGCACATGTACAGATCAAACTGTGAGCTTGGCGTGGGTCCATGGATCCCTCGGAGGCTTGCCTGCTGTCGGCGATGCCAGGGGCACTTGGCCAGAGCTCCCATTGTCCTTATCAGACCAAGTGTGGTGGTGGAACTACACAAAGCGCCCCTTTGTGCCCTGAGACAGAAGACAGATCTGACAGCGAGGACTTTTCAGATAGCATTTTATTTGGAACCATAGCAAGAACTCCGTGCCTGAGAGCGCGGTGCCCCGAATTGCAATCACGTGATTACCTCTTACGCCAAGGCTAGAATTGGTCAAGTTTAGTCCTGTTAGTCCAAAAAAAAATACTACCTTTCCCCCGTCTCTCAATATTTAAAATTGTGGTGTATTGTGGGGATTATTATTTATGGATCCCCTTGTATGTCAAGTGATTCACATGCATTGCATCATTTCATAACCAATATTTGTCCAATAAGAGATATGATTTGACTCTTTTATCGAGAAAACTGAGTCATAGGCAGGAAGTGTTAGAACTGAACGAAGTATGGACCCATGTCTGTGTGATGCCAAAGCCCTCACTCCTTTCTTCACAACTGCACCGGGTTCAGATTTCAGCATTTCCACTGGTCAGGAGGACATCAACAGAAATACTGTTGAAAACATTACTGGCCCTCTACTGGCCCTCTACTAAAGAAAAGGGCCAGTAATGGAGTAAGTAGGCTGATATAGTAGGAAGTTACCTGTTCCTTGTGGCTTTAAAAAATTCTTCAAATGAAGGAGAGGAATTGTTGGAGTCTTTGGTATACTTGAGAGCTTGGGATCCAAAACCTGGAGGAGGCAGGAAGTTATACAGTACTAATTGAAGAACTCCGTTCTTTTGCTTCCCTTGTCGGCTTCCTGTAATGACATTGGATGGTTTCTCCTGCTAGGCTTTGACCGGCAGGAGAGGCTTATGGTGACTGTAGACGCATTTCTGCAAGACCTCGCCACATTCAGAAGGCGTTTCAGCTCCTGGAGGTGGCTGCTCCCGTCCCTCTCCACTGTGGGCAGCTTCAGTCAGAGATGGAGGGTTGGGAGGGAGCTGCAGCCCCAGCTCTGTCGGAAGGGGATCATGGCGCATTGTTCTTTTTGGTTTGATCCTAAAGTAAAATCCACAGTTTATAGAGTTTGTTTTTCTTTCTTAGTTATTTTCAGAATTTTTTAATGAAAAAATATTAGTCTTTTTCAGGTA